CAGATTCACACAATGCATCCCTTACACACAACCAGAAACACATAATACATCCCTTATACACAAATACACACTGCTTCCACTACACACAAACACACTGCATCACCTGCACAAACTGGTAACCCTAAACACTACATACCATAAGCACACATATTAGATCCTCTACAATAACACATAACACATCTCCTACACACTCCACTCCCTATGAGCGAACTCATGGGTGGGTGGAACTTATGAGTGGGCCTTATGGGCATACTCACCGTCAGGCCCTGGGGCCCAGACCTTGAGCTGTGTAAGGGGCCCCAAAAAAATTGAGCTGCTTCCAATTCTCCCAGAACATTGAATTTTGTGACCACAGTTGCAAACAGCCTCCAGAGATCCTGTTCTACACCAGACCAGTGGAGCCAAACTGCAGCCCATCATCATCCTCATCTGCTTGTAAGTAGGCAATCTAGTATATTATTAGTGACACTAATCTATAATTTACCTCACATTAAAGGGACATTATAGCTTAATGAAGTGGTTCTGGTGTCTATAGCTGGTCCCTGCAGGCTTTTTAATGTAAACACACACTGTGTGCAGCACTGGCGTTAGTTCATATGGCAGATCATATGGGTGGGGCATTGTGATGTGACATGTGGGGGCAGCAAATTTTTATTTTGTCTAGGGCGGCAAAAATCCTTGCACCGGCTCTGATCCTGGGCAGGTGCACCAGTCTACTTGACTGGTTTTGCCCCCCAGGCCTAAGGCTGCCAGCCCTCCCCTGGCCGCTGGGGAGGTCTTTTGGCGGCCGCTGGCGGACTTGTCCTGGCGGCCGCTGAGGGAGCTGCGCGAGCTGCGCTGGCTCTGCTCCCCAGCACGCAGCTGAATGAGACCGGCGCCGGAATATGACGTCATATTCCGGCGCCAGTCTCATTCAGCAGCGCGCGAGGGCGGGAGGGCACTAACACAGGAAGCACCTCTAGTGACCGTCTGAGTGACTGTCACTAGCAGTGTCACTTTGAAGCAATGTAAACACTGCCTTTTGTCTGAAAAGTCAGTGTTTACGTTGAAATGCCTGTAGGGACATGCTATAGACACCAGTACCACCACATTAAGCTGTGTGTGTGCGTCTGCTAGTGAGTGAGCTTGCTTGCATGCGTGTGCCTGCTAGTGAGTGAGCTTGTGTTTTTATGTCAATGAGCTGATGTATATCAGTAAGATTGTTTGTCTATGAGGCTGTGTATCAATGAGCTTGTGTGTGTCACTGAAATGTCAGTGAAATTGCCTGTGTCTGCATGTGCGTATGCTTACTGTATAATTAAACGTTTTACCCTGAAAGGACCTATATTTTATATTACCTATATATATATTACTCAATCATCTGTCCTGGCAAGACATAGCCTTACATATTACATGCGACAATATATGGCGCAGTGACTTATGGGGCTGGCACAAATTTTTTTTCCAGGGCTGCTTTGTATCCCCAGTCCGGCCCTGGCCATTATACAAATAAAACAGGGGGCAGCTCATATTACAGATGTCAGGAGAGTCTAATATCCAACACTCAGAATTTAAGTTGGGAAAATAATATTAACCAAAAACACTAAAACTTATTACAGGACCTTAGAATGTCCAGATTTAATGTTAATAATCGAAAAGTATAGGCATGTGCATGGGGAAAATATTCTTCTCGATTCGGCATTCCGAAATTCGGGACTTCTGCAACTTCGGCACTTCGGCACTTGAACACTTCGGCACTTCGGAACTTCGCCACTTCAGAACTTCGGCAACTTCTGATCTTAGACACTTCGGCAACTTCCGCACTTCGGCAACTTTGGCAACTTCGGAACTTCGGAACTTCGGCATTTCGGGACATTTCTTGCAGCCGCTTCGTAGATAACTCCCTAATTCCTACAGTATTAGGGAGTTATCTACCAAAAGGCTGAAAGACCTAAATTGGTCTTTCAGACAAATTTACTAATACTAAGTAAAAATTATGATTTATGATTTCAGCATTGAAAAATAGTGCAAGACATCATCTATTAAATCTATAGAGTAAAGCCTCACCTTTATTCACAATGCATTTACAAAACAAATTTCTCTAACTGGTCCCTGACCTAATGTCCTCCCCCCTGGCCCCCACCCCTGAGCGGTGGGTGGGGGCCCTAAACAAGAATAAGGAGGGGGACCTAATGTCCTCCCACCTGGCCCCCACCCCTGAGCGGGTATAAGCCTTTCCCCGCCCTGCAGAGCTCAGTCTGCGCGGTGCCCTTGCGGGTGAAGATGGATTATTTTTTTTTGCGCACTTTTTTAATTTTTTTTATTTTGTCGGTTATTATGGATTTTTATTTGGCCTTTTTTGGGGCTGAAAAAATAAGATTTTAGTTGAAAGAAAACATCGAATGGTAAGTTTATTTTAATTTTTACAGGTATTTAGTTAAAGGTCCCCCCTCATTATTTTTAGGGTGAGTGGGGTAGGTAGGAGTTTATTTTTTGGGGGAGGGGGTGACTAGGGGTTTTGGGGACCCCTAGTCACCTGGGGGAGGGGGGCTAAATATGTATTTAGGGCCCCCACCCGCCGCTCAGGGGTGGGGGCCAGGGGGGAGGACATTAGGTCCCCCCCAATTTGTATTTAGGGCCCCCACCCACTGGTCAGGGGTGGGGGCCAGGGAGGAGGACATTAGGTCCCTCCCCTTATTTTACTTTAGGGCCCCCACCTACCGCTCAGGGGTGGGGGCCAGGGGGGAGGACATTAGGTCCCCCCAATTTGTATTTAGGGCTCCCACCGACCGCTCAGGGGTAGCGGCTAGGGGGGAGGACATTAGATCCCCCCCTTATTTTTTTTTAGGGCCCCCACCCACCGCTCAGGAGTGGGGGCCAGGGGGAAGACATTAGGTCCCCCCCAATTTGTAATTAGGGCCCCCACCCACTGCTCAGGTGGGAGGTCATTAGGTCCCCCCCTTATTCTTGTTTAGGGCCCCCACCCACCGCTCAGGCTTGGGGGCCAGGGGGAGGACATCAGGTCACCCCCCAATTTGTATTTAGGTCCCCCACCCACCGCTCAGGGGTGGGGGCCAGGGGGAGGACATTAGGTGTCCCCCCTTATTCTTTTTTAGGGCCCCCACCCTCCACTCAGGGGTGGGGGCCAGGGGGGAGGACATTAGGTCCCCCCCAATTTTTATTTAGGGCCCCCACCCACCGCTCAGGGGTGGGGGCCGGTGGGGAGGACAATACCTGAAATTTGGCCGAATTATAATTCGGCAAAAACGAATTGCACATGTCTAGAAAAGTACAGGACAAACTGATGTCAGGGAAATAGAAGGTATGAAAATGGTTAGAGAAGCCAAAGATCAAGGGATACAGAATTCAGAATAGTGAAAGTACAAGCCAAGGTCAAAATACACAAGGATCAAACAATGCCTTCTCGGACAACCCAACAGGAAACCACAACAGGGCACTGAGAAAATTTCAAAATGATTTTAAATATCCTAAGAATGGCTCTGATTGGCCAATGGTAACGTCGGAACATGCATGCATGATGTTGATGTGACAACGCACGCATGCTTGCAAGCGGAATTATGGAATGTACCTATGGAGCCATAAAAGGGTCTAACGCACAGTGGGCGGCATCTCTTCGGCTTTCAGACATGGCAGCTTCAGAGATAAGGGCGAGCTAAACCGGAGCTAAAACTTTTCCTCAGACCTCGTGGGAATGCGCTGCTTTGGAACGCCGTGACAATAGGAAAGTAATATGCCTTCTTCTTTTTCCATCAATTGATGAGTACAATATTTATTCTATTACATAGATGGCAATGACAACTTAACCAACATCCTTTTTTATTATATATAGGTATTATCGGTATTTGAAAACTTTATAAGGTTGATTATAATTTAAATAATTTTCGGTTCCCTAATTATACAGGAGCCTTCACCACAGTGAAACTGGAAAAATATTATAAAATATGAACAACATATGCCTTTGTTATTAAATTGGGTTAAATGAATCCACTGCAAATATGTTCTTTATTTTTTTGTATATAGAAGTTTAATAATTTTATTTTTTGTTGAAACCAGTTAATTCTCTGAGTGATCCATTTCTCACCTGAATATACTTAATGCCCAAAGATATCTCTGGCTCATCTCAATTTCTTGGGATCGGACATAAAGGATTTAAAGGTACACTCTAACATTCTAAATAAATATATATTTAACATAATGTTCCTTTGACCATGGGCCAGTACTTTTCAAAGAGAATCATTGGGGCACTAGTGGGCAAGCATGGCAATTCCTGCACTCAGCCAATCGGATGCTTCTCATACAAAAACTCCTCTAGGAGAAGCATTGAAAGTGCTTGGCAAAATTTGTGTGATGACACTGAACAAGACTTTAAGTTATTTAAAATCTTCTTGAGGAAGTGCCTGTAGTGACTATCTGACTGATAGCTGCTAGAGGCCAACTGATTGAGAAATGTAAACATTGCCATTTCTCACAAACACAGAGACAGGGTCGATGCACTAAAACATTAATATGCTGTAGTTTTGATGCTTAGTGTCCATTAATCATCATTTCATTTCTATTCATCACAGATGGATCATGTTTACTATGATGCAGCAGTCTCTGGTATATAAAGTTATTTTAACTTATATAACATTCTACCTACCATGTGTGCATTCCATTCACAGGTCACATTCAAGATGTTACAAAAATGATGTCCTGAGATTCCACTGAACATTAGGCTGGGAAGTTTAATGGCTCATAGAGAAGCATTAGGAAGCAGGGTGCATGAATGGCAATTACCACTATGTGCCTTCCATGCGTCTCTGCAAGAAGCAGTGAAACAAATGCTTCTCAATGAGAAGCATTGCTTCCTACATGGTGCTGGGGCAAAACATTATCAGGAACAGCACCTTCCTGGCCGGTTGATTGACTTAGCAGATGATTTCTCTTTAAATCAGTACTTTTATAAAGTGTGCATAAAAGGACACACTTTTAAGTCAGAAACAATTCAGCAAGTTGAAGTGCTTTGGGTATATGGAGTTTCCCTTTAAGAGTTAAACTACCACAAACTCTTTCTTTTAAGGAGAACCATAATAAGGAAACAATTCACACCATAGCATGGCCCAGAGGGGATTAATATGTATTGTCACCTTGCAGGTTGCCCTACCTTAAGCATCACTGAGTATGTACTACATTACATGGAGTTCAAAACTCCTCAGACTATCTTGCAACCAACAAACAGCTGCTGTAATAGATACTTTAGGACATGTTCCACTCTCAGCAGGCCTGTATTTAATTCATCCTTGTTTTTTACTGAGTTCTCGTGAATGGACACACACACACAAAGCTGAAATCAAACCAGTTACAGGATTTAACAGCACACATCATCAGAAACAAACTGCCAAAGACGACATTAACTGCACTCCTCGTTCAATAACACCTTGATAGATGGCATTATTGCACATTAAAACTGCCAACAGCTGTTAAACTGTACATCCATAAAAACCTAGAGGATAGGAAAAGTAAAATTCCATTCCATTCTAGCCGAACTGCCATTAAGGGCAGCAATTGTAACACCTCCGCACAGTATTACTAAAAATGCTTTAAGTTCTTAAATGGCAAAAATGCAACCAATGAGGAGTTCCGGCATCCCTGACATTCTAACTATGTAGACATGAGCTCACAATCTAGCAGTGACATATATATTAGTTCTGTAGCTAAGAAAGACAAAGTGCAGCTCTAAACTGCAGCACTGAAGAAAAACAAAAGACACACACACATACACACAAAATACACACAAACAACACAAAGAAACATTTTAGAATCCCCATGTAACAACTGTTTGGAGTTACTAAAATTAAAGAACTCCCCTGAAGATCCTAAATTTATCATTAACCCATGACACAATCAAAAAAAATCAAAGAGGCCATATATAGGAGAATAACTATTATTTCTTAGTACGTAGAAGTAATGAGGGGATATTACTGCAACACCATTTTATTGTTGGCATCTCCTTTTAGTAAATCAATCTCATACAGAGAACAAATGTTTATATGCAAGAGTTGAGTTTATTTTAGAGACTATGTAGAACCCTGGACAAGAGAACATTAATACATTAATGTTCTTGCTACAAAATGTGATATTTCAGTCAAGGACCTAGGACAGTTTTGGTTAAACTTGGCAACATCAATATTTGGGACCTACATTTCCAAAGATACTCAACTAGCCAAAAGGCCCTAGGACAGTGATCCAATGAAATATTCTCCAATTGTTAAAGACACGTGAATTGAAAGGCAAAATGTTTGCCTCAAACACTAATAAGCTGAGCAAATAAATAATATTACATTTTTAAGATCCAACATCCTCTAATTCTTTCACTGCAAAAAACATATTGGTAAGGCAGTGCAAGTATGAACAAAATCCTTCATATATATTTATATTTATTAGGCCATTATGTCACGTTGATTTCAGATGGATTCCTGATGTAAGAATCAGCTCTGCTAGCATTGGAAAATGTAGAATTTTGTAAAAAGCAGTAAAACATTTCAACTCCGTGAGAGCATTCTTGTGGATACATGATGGCCATGACAAACCCCACTGGCATTATAATCACACCGAGCAGCAGTATAAAGCATGGCATGATATTGTTTCTGTGATACCAGTGGTCTGAAGATAACTTCAGGTAGCATACTGGAGGAATGATGAAGACCAGGGGCGTTGCACTTAGAATACCCTGAAACAAAATTATAACATTTTATTAATAATGCACGCATTTAAGTTTACATTAATTTGTATGTTAGAATCTCTTAATGTGCTGTATGTCATATTGCTTTCAGCAACCTATAAGGGTAGAATAAACGCCATAATCACTAGTGCCCATTGTAGTGGTCATGGTGTTTGTAGGATGTGTGTGTTGTCCACCAGTTTTTTATCAAACCATTTTCAAGTGGTTTGACAAAAAGCAGAGATCCCTGAGACATTGTAGTGGTTAAGGAGCTTGTAGGATGTGACTGCTGTCGCCTGGTTCTCTGTCAAATCATTTTCAAGTGGGTTGACACAGAGCAGAGGTCCCTGAGGCACATGTGACCTGGCCTCTTGCTCACTACATTGCCAATGTGGAAGTTACACTTCCACATAAGCAATATCTATTTCATTTATATTGAGAACAGGAATGGTGCCATAACCACTACAAGCCTTGTTATCTTATCTGGTCCAAGTACATTCTAGGATCCTGTGTAACAGACCCAGAGTATGTACAAGGTATTCTGAATGCAAGAGGATCAGCTGTTTATTGAGGACAAATGCTGCAACCAACTCACATATCTAGGCTTGGTTAAACTCAAGTAACACTTGAAAAATACTCAACTTTTTCTCAGAAGAATAAAATTTTGGATGATCACCAACCAGTTGCTACGTTCCCTATCTGAGCATGGTTGGTCTTTGAAGTCAAGTAGTTTAGGTTCATTGGCCTTGGCACACAACTTAAGTAAACATACCATCTAAAATCCTATTTTTATAATAAGCAGTAGATGCTTGAGATGGCTGCCCTCAATCTCGTGTCCTCAAACAGTAACTGTAGGATTTCATTTCTTCTTTCAATATGTAAAATACACTGGGCTGTATAGGGCATTTACCAGGAAATGGCAGGTTTAGATTGACTTATACATAAAATACATAAATATTCAAATAAACAAAACAACAGATTCAAAGCAAAGCAAGCTTAATACATAATAATTTGGAATTCATATGTTAGTTCTCCAGAATTAACAGATTCGTAAATAGCAATAATTGTTATAATTAGCAGTATATATAAATATATATATATATATATATATATATATATATATATAATTATCTTATTTATTTATTTGAGAGTAAGGTTTGAAAATTGATTGTATTCAGCCCCAGTTTGTACCAATTCCGTGTTTGGTTTATTCGCTCACTATTATGATACTTTTCGTAATTTTCATCAAAATGTAGCAATCTAAAGGTTTTTAGTTTTATTTAAGTAAAAAAAAATAAAAAAAAAAAATAACAATTTCAGTGTTACAGACCCCTTTCTGGAGGGGTAAGGCTCGGAGACCAAATTTTATCAACAATCATACCCTATTTTCAAGGGGTTTTTTTTGTTTTGTTTTTAACAATTTTAGTATTTTTAGTACATTTTTAGAATGGCTTCATGTTTTTTCTTGTGAAAAATGTAAACATGCTGGATAAGGCCACATGAAGTAACATTATTTTGCACAGTAAATGTCAATCATAATCTTCAAGTTTAGTTTTAAGATATATTCAGACATAAAAACCTACTTACATTGAGCTCTAAAACCATTCCTAGACATTCGCACGCCAAAGATATAGTTGTAGTTAGCGAAACAACCATCAAGGTCACTACTAAATGAAGACTCGATGTAAGAGTTCCACCAAAAAATACATTTGCAATCACCTGCAAAGAAATACAGAACAAATGTGTCCCGTGAATTAATAGGCACACCTTATTAGCTGAGCTATTATCTAGATAAATTAGAAGAGAAAAAGAGCGAGCAACAGTGACATCTGCTGTCTGGTTTTGAAAGTGACCTCAGGCAGCTATGTTTACAAAAATAATGTTTATTTTGTGACAAGATTTTAACTACATTTCACCCATAGCAATCAAAAGTGTTAGTAAAGATCTAATAAAGATATTAAAGAAATTGGGCTCTGAAATGCAATATTTATCTTTATAATGAAATAAGATGCACTTTATTAGATATGTAATTTTTATGAAAATACAGGATTATAATAATTAAATTGCACGTTATTAAAAACAAAAACATTCAGAATGCCGTTTTGGATGCCAAAATAAATGAAAATTCTAATTTTCTGCAATATGTTTTTCCCTACTTTTGAATCAACAGCAGTAACAAGGATATGTAACAAGTTGAATCTGTTTTCAACCTTTTCAATTCATGCAATATAGGTGTCAAGTTCAACTGACTTTGGAACACTCTTGCACTTTGTTGGATGAAAAATGATCTAAACTGTTAGTCACCTCTTGCAAATCACCCACACTTCCCAGACAAAATCATGTAGGGATTGAAAAATATATATCATTCCTGTTACAAGAATTGGAAGTTGGGTAAAATCAAATTCGTAGTTAGTTTGAGTTTTCAGGCAATCTCAAATTTGTTACTCCTGATGCATTTGAAACACTATAGAAACTAACAGGTACTCAGCATCTAGTGTAAACATGTGGTTGTTGTTTAAAAAAACACTGCAATGGGAAAAAAAATATATATTTTTTTCAATTTAAGTAGACACACCACCAATAAAAAAATCCATGTATTTAGTTATGTTTTTTTTATATTCATTGGGCTATAGCTAAAAACTTGCAAAAGCTGCAGATCTCTTGTCTGCAGCTTTTGCAAGCCCTCTCCTTATCCACGAGTATTGACTTGCTGTGGCTGTGCAATCACAGACTTCCCAATGCAGCTCAATGAGATGTCTTTGCAAGGCAGGTGCTCTAATCAATTACCTGCCTCTTGAGTTTAGCTCCACTGAACTAAACAAACCAGGAAGTAACAGAGCCAGCTGTCTGATTGACAGCCATAGTAGTGTAACAAAGTTGCTTTATAAATATTTATTTATAAATAGATATGTCAATTGCAGTTGAAATCTGCACTTTTTCTAAAATACACAGAAGACTCACCCTTCACTTCAGTAAACTAAAGTGCTTGAGGGGTCTGGAGTGTCCCTTTAAGTTCTTCAAACTTACCTCTCTGGCTACAAAACATTCCATGGGATAAGTCAGAATGATGGTGAGTGCATAGCAGAATCTTCCGATTGTAACTAGGTTGTCATGTTTGCAATAATTCTCAAAAAGGTCCCCTAGAAAGAAAATCTGACGTAAGAACTGAAATTGTATTTACATACACAGTTTGTTTTCACGTGTTTGTTTTTTACTAAACAGGGAGTTATGGTGACTTAATAACTGAGCTTAAGAATTGAAACCAAAAATGCACAGTTGAAAAAAAATGTAACTCAGATAGCGCAAAAAAATTAATATATATATATAGTCATGATGCATATGTCCATATATCCAATATTGTTTTATAATGTACTAATGTATCTAGTATTTTGGAAAGCATCAATTTAAAAAGATAGGCAAAGTCATCTTGTGAAAATTAGGGGAGCAATCTGGGTGCAATTCAAAAATGTACAAATATCTGAATTCTTGAATTGAGTGTACTTAGTCAACTATGAACCGATCTGAGCTAAATAT